CCGATTCATCGATTTTTAAAATAATCGTTAGTTGCAGCCCTGGTTGAAACCTTGACCGGCCCGCCTTCAGCAGAACCCTAAACCCTTTAGAAAGGAAACGGTCTCCTTCCTGCAGCAGCTGTTTGGACTGAAGCACCGACCAGAACCAACCAGAACCCGGGTCGGTCCGTGTTTCATAGAACCTGCAGCTTCAGATGTTTGACGGTGGTTCGGTAAAATCGGTTAACGGCGCTTAGGAGCGGTTCTGTAGTGAAATCTCAGTGAGATGATGTCACTTCCTGTTCCCGCCCAGGCTGCTGGACCCGGCGTACACGCTGCAGTACGACGACTTCAAGAAGTGTTACGGCGAGATCCTGTACCGCTGGGGTCTGAGAGACAAGCGGGCCGACGTGCTGAAGTTCACCTCCAGCCCCCCAGAACCTCACAAAGGCATCGGTAGGTTCCCCTCACGGTTCACCGCAGGTCTGAAAGGCTTCTGCAGTTCTGCTCCTGGATCAGAAGGTCCGGTCAGTGGATCCAGTATTTCCAATCCAGGATCAGAACCTGCAGAACCGCTTCAGACGATGCTCCTGTTGTTCTGAACAGGCGGGCTTTGTGTGTCTGCAGAGTTCGGGGTGTACTGCTGCCACTGCCGCAGCCAGGCCCGCGGGACCCAGTGCGCCGTCTGCAAGCGGCTGACCTTCCAGTGCGCCGTCTGCCACGTGGCGGTCCGAGGATTGTCCAACTTCTGCCTGAGCTGCGGACACGGAGGTCACACCGCACACATGATGGACTGGTTCCGGCGCCGGGACGAGTGTCCGGCCGGCTGCGGCTGCCCCTGCCTGCTGCAGAGCACCTTCTAAGGCTCCGTCAGGACCGGCGGTCTGAAAGACCAGAACTACAGACGATCGGGTTTCACCTTTAATTCATTCAGATAGTGTCTTTTCCCCACAGTGGATCAAAACTGACACCGTTTCCACAGTGATGCTGGATGAAATTATGCAATAAAATCTCACGTTGGACCCAGTTCACAGACTTAAAACCTTAGAAGAAGAAATAAAGTTTTATTCATTATCAGAAAGGCCTCAGTATCATCAGAGCTGCATGAAGATGCTTTAAATCTAATGATTAAAATATTAAAACGAACAGAATGAGGATTACAGTCTAGGGGTAAACCGGAGAGAAGAGAGTTGCATTAATCAATATGGATCAGAACAAAAACAGAATGCAGGAAAAAAGGGACAAAGATAATGATTTATAGATGAAGGAACGTTAAATAGGTAAAGTTATTGATGTGGGAGGATGACACCCAGACTCTTCACCTGAGGAAACAAAAAAAAAGACAACGGAACTGTCAGATGGAAGACAGAAAATGTCAGCCTTGGAAAAAATCATTTGGTTCCTACCAGGAGGATCTCCGTTTAGTTCAATTTAGCTTAACAAAGTTAGAGGTGAAACAGGCTTTATTTTTAGTTAGGCAGGAGGTGAGGGGGGGGTTTGGGGTTAGGCGCACCAGATAAATAGACCTGAGTGTCATCCAGATAACATTTCAGAGGAATTTTACATTTCTGACATGTTTAAAATAATAATAAAAAGTAGGGGCCCCAGGACAGAGCCCTGAGGCATACCGATTTTTTTCTTAACTTGCTGCTACTTATCGGGTGAGGATTATTTTATTCTTCAAGGTATAGCGGAGGATTTTTGTGAATTTTTGAAAAGACCCGCCCTGCACATGCACAGCCATGTAGCCGCTTCTGAGGGAGAACGCCTGTTAAACGCGTGCGAGAGCGTGCATGGGCCCGTTTCTCCTCGTGCACACGCTGTTTAAAAGTTGCTGTTGGAGCTCCGCTGGTTGCCGCGGTCCACTCAACATCGGAATTTTTTAAAAAATTCTGCACTAAATCGGTAAGTGGTCCATATAGTGACGCTTTAAAGTATAATGTTTTCGCCTCAAATGATCTCAAAATTAATTTTTATTGAACAACAACAGAAAAGAGAACTTTTAACTCAATACTCTGAGCTCTGTGAGCGCTAACCTGGAAGCTGCTCCCGCCGCAGTGCATGCTGGGACAGCTGTCAGCCTGGAGGACGAACAAGTCTGCTCTGATGCATGCTGGGTAAAGAGGGAGGGGCAAGGACAAGATCATATCTGCCACGGCTGCCTGTGAGCTGCGTATAACACTATTTTTCTGCCTAATTGAAACTCTGCATCTATCACATCAACATATCATTTCCTCCTTTAATTGGACCTTGAAAAATAAAGTGGCAAAACTAGCCAGTTTCCTAGGGCCCCAAGTTCCTGGGGGCCCCATAAAACTTTGTTTACATGTATGGTTAACACACCTCATTACTCCATCCAGACAGCCCTTCATTTATTTATT